ACACACACACACACACACACACACACACACACACACAGAGACAGACTGAGCGAGGTCTGAGGAGAGAAGCATATGATCTGCACCAGAGCATAAAGTAAGTCTCATGTTTCAGTGAATATTCTCTTTCTGTGGTTTTAACATGTTATTGCTCATAAGACTTGGAGATATCTGTAAGAGATCACGGTAATTTCATTTAAGTATCCGCTTTAAAAACGTAACCTTCTCTGATGTTTGAGTGTGTGTTCAGATCTCCTAGTTTTGATGGCAGACTGTTATCTTGGCACTTGTGAGCACAGTTTGAGACACTGTTGAGGACTTTTCTGGAAGTCTACAGGAGATGTGTGAGATCACTGAGGATGTCAGCAGGAGAATCAGTTTAGTCTCCACTTCATCTCGTAGTTTAGGAGAAGGCGCTGCTGATATGACATGATTTTCTGTCTGTGTGAACTGGGTATATGTACCGAGGTGCTCACACTGATTTTATGATGAAGTGTGGTTCAGATTGAGGGTTTGTCCTGTGAAATGTTTTGTTTTGACTGTTGGAAACGGTCCGAACGCTTCTGCAAACGCTCATGCGAATGCTGGATCGTCGCTGGCAGTTCTGTGAGCTGCGGGGAGGAGCGGTCGCTAGAGTTTGAGATGTAATTGTGTCTGTATTGATCGTCCAGTCGATGGCTGCTGTCTCTCTGGTCCTGATGAAGGTCGAGTCGAGGAGTTCCTGGACTAGAAATAACGTGTAATATAGAATTCCACAGATGAAATAATATAGATGAAGCGTGTAAAGAAGCAGCATGCTAATTAGACAGCGTGAAATGTCTCACATATGCTTTTATTTTTGTCATATGTATTTATTTATTTTTTATTATTATTAAAAAGTGTTCTGGGTTCATTACAACGTGCTGTTAGTTACTGCAGAAAATAATTCAGACTTGTTCCTCATTTTGTAAAAATGATCCCAAATAGTGTGTAGAGTAATAAACTTACAGTAAAAATTGAGAAATGTTTAAATACTCACAGGAAAAATGTTAAAATACACACCGTTTTGAAAGTACAGCCACAAGACTTTCAAAACACCATTAGATGACATAATCTAACTCCTGATGAGCATTAAAGCTGGTAACTTTCTCATGATTTACACAAGGTTACCAGAAAGCTATTGTTTACTGAAAATGCATGATAGGAGTGCATACGTTTATCAGTTTAGAAAAGCAGTCAGCTAAAATAAAGCATTAATAAAACAAGCTGATAAGAATTTGGGTAATATGCACTAAAATATCTGAACATAGAAACTATGAACGTTATCTTTTGACTAGGCTGCTGGTAGATTTCATCTGCCGATATGATAATCTCACACTGGTTATCAGATATGCCTTCACATGTTGTGTTTTGTGTTTTCAGTAGATTTGTCTCCAGCAGCGCTGCAGTGCTCCTGTGGATCTGTAGAGCAGCCTCAGAAGAAGAAAACCCCGCCTCCTCCCAGGCCATGCCCCGCCCAGCACACACCGAGGCCACGCCCCACTCCCTCAGCCACGCCCAGAGCACAGAAACCCCACGGTATTAAACACATCTTACTGTCATTCATACCTGACAACAGTCTTCTGGAAAAACAATGTTTTTTTATTGCGCTAATGCTCCTGTTTTTGGTTTCCCAGCATGCATGTGTGTTTGTGATGCTGTGAACTTGCATGGATATTTTGTGGCTTTCATATGGTGCAAAACAGACAGAGGAAGGAAGTGCGCGCAGCTCAGACTATCTGCTTCCTGAATTCAGATTCTAAATTGCATCATTGAAGTTCTATTTCATTCAGTCCTAATGCAACTCATTCAGTATACACTTTACAAATTCATACTGATTTGAGGCGGTTTATCCACTCATGCACGTACACACTTCATCTTCTCGACTCTGTTGTGTGTGTGTTTGTATCTCGCCGTGTGACCGCAGCTCTTTTCGCACGCTCATCTCCACTTCCTGTTCTCGGTTCAGGAAGCCGGCAGTTTCTCGGACAGCTGAAGTCTCTCCATCTTTCTTGTACTCTTAGCTGGTTTTCTTTGCATGCGCGGGTGGATCGGGAGGATGAGTATGGAGGGAGAATCTCTGGGCTGCGAGCGGAGGATGAGGTGCGGGACTGTTGTGATGGAGATAGAGCTGATCTGAGCGTCTTCTCTCTCTCTCTCTCTCTCTCTCTCTCTCTCTCTATCTCTCTCTGTGTGCATGCTGGGAGTGAGTGGGCGGAGTTGGCGTGCATGAGTTGGAGTGAGTTCCATGGTGCGAGTGAGTGTGTGTCTGTCAGTGCCCCCTAAGCCTGTGCTCCTGCTCGGTCCTGTCCCTCCAGTGCCCCGCCGACCCCTGCCCAGTCCCCCTCTGAGAGCCAGAGTCCCGTCTGCAGGGCCCATCCACAGCTCCAGGTAAGAGCTGAGCATCGTCTGTGTGTCATACTGTGTGAGCTGAGACTCGGATTAGAGATGTATGAAGATTTCTTATCACGATTATAGTGACCGAAATGATCACGGTTATCAGTTTTATCACGGTAAAATGTTAAAATGTGCTGGAAATGTTCAAAAACACATAAATAGTTTCAGTAAGTTTTATATTTAAAAACAACAAATACAATTACTTTTTGTATGTATAAACACTGAAACAATAAAATTACAAATGATGTCCGGATCAGTGCGTTCTCTTAAAGTGACAGCACTTTCTTAAAGTTAATTAAACTGTGACCTAGTTTGACTAACTATGAGTTTTAAACTTTAACTTTAAAAGGTTATGACTAATCTTGAAAAAAAAGATGGCTAACTAAAGTTTATGCAATTGGTATTAAGATGCATTGTCGTTGATCTGTTCACAAGGATGATGTTAAATACAGGTGTAAATGGGTCTAAAAAGTTTTGAGCCATTTTTGACCACTTTTGACCTTTTTCAGAGGTATTAAAAATGCATTGACGCATTGTTTTTGTAGTCTTGATGCTTTTGTGGCTGTTTCGACCGCATAAGACGCCCGCTTGCCACCCACTGACCTCGTACGCGAGCATTATGGGATGTGTTTTAAGATCTCAAATTCACTGTGTTGTGCCATAAACACAGATTATCACTGACTGTCATTGAAATTTTACTAGTATCCTTTCCATTCGCATGCTTTCCCACTCATTCACAATCAGCGAAATGGCTATATTTATTCATTGTATTCGTTCACCTTTCTCATGATGAGTGTGATGAAACAGGAGGGAAGCGTCTCAACAAAACCAGATGCATTTAAAACACATCTCCCCCCAGTTTCACAAACAAGGCTTAAGGTTAGTCCCAGACTAAAATCTCAACTAAAAATTACTTGCACTGACATATCTTAAATTATGCCAGTACCATTGTTTTGTCTCAAGGTGCACACCAGTAATGTTTCTTTCGAAGGCATTTTTATAAAAGCTGCTTAAATATCCTAATTAAAAATAAAGGTGCTTCATCATGATGCCATAGAAGAACCTTTTTTGTCTAAATGGTTCCATAAAGAGCCTTTAACATCTGAAGAACCTTTCTGCTTCACAAAAGCTTCATTGTTGCGAAAGAAGGTTCTTCAGATTATAAAAAGGTACGAAAGATGGTTCTTTAAAGAACCTTTGACTGAATGCTTCTTTGTGGAACCAAAAATGGTTCTTCTATGGCATCGCTGTGAAGAACCTTTTAAGCACCTTTATTTTTAGGAGTGTAGTCCTGGCTTAAACTAAGCTCTGTCTGTGAAACCGGTCTCTTAATTCCAGGTGTAAACAGGGCCTAAGCCACTTATTTCAAACGTTTGACAAGATGCTTTTACACTTTTAGACCATTATTGCGCCTTCATCTTGTAAGGTTTCCGATTCTGGGCCTCCAGCGGAGGAGCGACCTCCATTGGGGAGCCAACATGGATTCTCCAGCCTCTCGAGACGCCAGCGATCATCCTCAGCTCAGCGAGACACCAGTGGCAGCAGCGCTGGAGAAAGATGATGCACTTTCATTTAAAGCATGTGAAATCTCTGAGCTTTTGAGATTGTCCAGCTTAAACTTCTTCCAGACGGACTCTGCCAGTGACGCGGAGATTACAGAGGAACTTCAGAAAGAGCATCAGAAACAGTGCAGCAGTGGTTTGGAGAGTAATCGCAGTGACTCAGACGGAGAGCGTCATGAGGGGAGCAGTAAACACGCAGACGGCGAGGAGGCAAGGTCGCAGGGTCACGAGGGGACGGAGGCCAGCGGAAAGATCCCCAACCGGGACAGCGGCATCGACAGTCCGTCCTGCGGAGCGGAGGCTGAGGGCTTCCCCAGCGAGGACAGGAGTGCCAGCCTGGCCACAGAGACCACCGCCGGAGACAAGCGGGACTCCACGCAGGACGAGGACAGCGACCTGGACGAGGGGAGCGGCGAGGATCCCGAGAGCCTGGAGATCAAGGTGAGAGCGCAGACCTGTGTTTGGAAGAGGTGACTAAAGCGTGCAGAATAGACACCATCACAAAATTTGTAATGGTTTTACTGGTTATAATGGGACTTGTATTGGTTTTAATGGAAACTGTAATGGACCCTGTGGGTCTCTACTGGTAATTGCTTGTTAAAACCAATAAATCCTACTGGAATATGTCCCAAAACACACTACAGAAAACCATTTTTTAATGGGTTTAATTAGTGCTGTCAAACAATTAATCGCATCCAAAATAAAAGTTTTTTTGTTTACATAATATATGTGTGTGTACTGTGTATATTTATTATGTATATATATAAATATAAAACACATGCATGTATGTTTTTAAGAAAAATATGTTATGTTTATATATTAAATATATTTATATATAATATAAAATATAAGAATATAAATATATAAATGTATATACACGTATATATAAAAAAATATATATATACTGTATGTGTGTGTATTTATATATACATAATAAATCTACACAGTACACACACATATATGATGTAAAAAAAAACATGTTTATTTTGGATGCGATTAATCGTTTGACAGCACTAGTTTTAATGGTTAAAAGGTGATGGTTTGTAATGTTTGTAATGGTATTTGTAGTGGAAACCATTAGAATTTTCTGTGATGGTTCTATTGTTTTTTTGAGCTCACACTGAGTTTGACGTTAGCATCATAGGCGTAGCTTGACGTCTGAGCTTGGGGGGCCAAACCAAGCCAGTCGATTTGCTCAGTCAAACTTTTAAATACATTTAGCATTTCTGTAGTAAACGTACAAATTCACAGTCCGTCTACCATTTAAGCGGTTTTACTATGATTGCACAGAGCAGCAGCAGGCCTGAGGTTGCCATGGCAACCAGATACATATTTTTGCTGCTCTAGCAATAAACATGTCGAACAGAATGCACTATAAACATGTTTGTCAGCAGAATCGCAAAGTAGACTTTAAGCAAATTAATCGAGTGAATTACCCACTGCTTTAAAACAGATGTTTGTTGGACAAGATTCAAGTTAAACGCACAAAAGCAGGCACACAAACATATTTAGTAACGTTAAATCTTACTGAAAATGGTAGATTAAGCAGTTTATATTCTGAAATCAATTTCTAGGTTCTGTTCTGTGTGCATTAAATTACATTTGGATGGAAATGGCCCTTTTCCTGACATCGATGTAAAACATTGCGCTGCTATAACGAGAGTCCTGCGGATCACCTTTATGAGATTCAAGCATCGGCATCTTCATCTGACTTTGTTTTGGTTAGGTCCAGATTCCTGTGCAGTTGCTGTATGTTTTAAAAAAACGCTAAATAACCACTCGCCATGCAACAGGCAAGCAGGCTATTATCCGCCAAAATGCAGATTCGTCACTCGACAACCTCTTGCAAATGAGATTGGGGAAGCCATTAGTAACTTTGATTTTATTTATTAATTTATTTACAAAATAACAATTTAAAATATATTAAAATAACTACGTTATGTGCATATTTACCTTTGAGTTGAAAACATTATTAATTAACAAATATTTATTAAAATCTTTCAATCGTTAGGGGGGGGCCCCCGCAGGCTCCGCCCATGGTTAGCATGTCGATTATCGGTGTAAAATAAGTGGTGCACATAAACATACTGGGTTAAAGTGAAGGTTAGAGTTCTTCACAGTGGCTAGGATCCGTTTCTCAGTACTTAAGTCACTCTTTCAGTGAGCAAAACAGCATCAGTGTGGCTGAACCGTGGATCGTTTATCATTGCTTTGACACAAAATACATTCAATGACATCTTTCAAATCACATGAATTCATTTCTCACTCAAACTCAGTGGACCTACAGGCCGATTTATTATTATTATTTATTTATTTAACCAGGAAAGACTCTCTGAGATTAAAAATCTCTTTCACAGGAGTGTCCTGGCTAAAATGGACAGCAATACAATCAGTTTCACCACAAATTTACAAAAAAACAAAAACAAACTAAGAACAAGAATTTTCTGTGATGGTTCTATTGTTTTTTTGAGCTCACACTGAGTTTGACGTTAGCATCATAGGCGTAGCTTGACGTCTGAGCTTGGGGGGCCAAACCAAGCCAGTCGATTTGCTCAGTCAAACTTTTAAATACATTTAGCATTTCTGTAGTAAACGTACAAATTCACAGTCCGTCTACCATTTAAGCGGTTTTACTATGATTGCACAGAGCAGCAGCAGGCCTGAGGTTGCCATGGCAACCAGATACATATTTTTGCTGCTCTAGCAATAAACATGTCGAACAGAATGCACTATAAACATGTTTGTCAGCAGAATCGCAAAGTAGACTTTAAGCAAATTAATCGAGTGAATTACCCACTGCTTTAAAACAGATGTTTGTTGGACAAGATTCAAGTTAAACGCACAAAAGCAGGCACACAAACATATTTAGTAACGTTAAATCTTACTGAAAATGGTAGATTAAGCAGTTTATATTCTGAAATCAATTTCTAGGTTCTGTTCTGTGTGCATTAAATTACATTTGGATGGAAATGGCCCTTTTCCTGACATCGATGTAAAACATTGCGCTGCTATAACGAGAGTCCTGCGGATCACCTTTATGAGATTCAAGCATCGGCATCTTCATCTGACTTTGTTTTGGTTAGGTCCAGATTCCTGTGCAGTTGCTGTATGTTTTAAAAAAACGCTAAATAACCACTCGCCATGCAACAGGCAAGCAGGCTATTATCCGCCAAAATGCAGATTCGTCACTCGACAACCTCTTGCAAATGAGATTGGGGAAGCCATTAGTAACTTTGATTTTATTTATTAATTTATTTACAAAATAACAATTTAAAATATATTAAAATAACTACGTTATGTGCATATTTACCTTTGAGTTGAAAACATTATTAATTAACAAATATTTATTAAAATCTTTCAATCGTTAGGGGGGGGCCCCCGCAGGCTCCGCCCATGGTTAGCATGTCGATTATCGGTGTAAAATAAGTGGTGCACATAAACATACTGGGTTAAAGTGAAGGTTAGAGTTCTTCACAGTGGCTAGGATCCGTTTCTCAGTACTTAAGTCACTCTTTCAGTGAGCAAAACAGCATCAGTGTGGCTGAACCGTGGATCGTTTATCATTGCTTTGACACAAAATACATTCAATGACATCTTTCAAATCACATGAATTCATTTCTCACTCAAACTCAGTGGACCTACAGGCCGATTTATTATTATTATTTATTTATTTAACCAGGAAAGACTCTCTGAGATTAAAAATCTCTTTCACAGGAGTGTCCTGGCTAAAATGGACAGCAATACAATCAGTTTCACCACAAATTTACAAAAAAACAAAAACAAACTAAGAACACTTAAAACATTTACATATCATTGAGTGGCCTTTACATACTTAAAATAAACTGTTGAAAGCCTAAACATAATACAAAACTGAATAAGACCGCATTTCTACAGCAATGCCATATTGAAATCTATTCCAAATGTAAACCCTAATAATATAAATACTATGAAAACCATTCAGTGTAGCTGAGCACCTGCACAGCTGTTAGTCTTGTAATTTCATTCCCATCAATATAAAAGATTAAACTTGGGAATAATGTTGGACTGTCATGTAAACATGGAGTGTGTAACATGTACTGCAGTGAATTCTGAACACTTGATTTAAAGAGATTTTACAAAGAAAACACTGTATGCTGCTTCCTGTTGCTGTTCCCTGTGCTTTACGTCTGTTTGTTGGGTGAAAACCTTTGCTAGTATTATGAAGAATGACTCTATTTGAGACTGTATGAAGAGTTTTGGTAGTTTTAGTGCATTTTCAATGTGAAATGAGAACTGTGTGAAGAGTTTTGAAAAAGTGACCTAAGTATTGAGAAATCTGTCCTAACGATTGTAAAAAAAAAAAAAAAAACCCTGTGTAATCAAAAGCCATCTTCTTTGATCATTTTTTCCTCTTAAATTGTTGCAATGCATTCTGGGTTTGCCTTCACTGTGAAGTGGACTTGTAGATTTGATGCCTGCAGTGCTGTCTAGCTAGGTTTCTCTGAACGTCTCCTGAAGCACAGTGTGCAGATGTCTCATGCTCTCATGTATCAGTTATGTGTCACAGACCGGAGGAAGTGAACATTTTAAGTAGCATGCGCTGCATTTGTGTTGTGTGGGGGTTGCACTTTGTGAACGTGTTGTTTTTGCCACTCTGTGTGTGTGTGTCTGTGTGTGTGAGTGTGTGTGTGTGTGTGTGTGTGTGTGTGTGTGTGTCTGTGTGAGTGTGTGTGTGTGTGTGTGTGTGTGTGTGTGTGTGTGTGTGTGAGTGTGTGTGTGTGAGAGAGAGAAGAAATGCAATTGTCTTCAACACGCTCTCTAACATAAGTCTATTAGTTTATTCCTTTATTATTTAACCCTCTTGTTGAGCCGCATTCAGATTTTTAACTGACTGAACTATATATTTCTGCTTGAAATTGTGTGACTTTTTCTCATTTAGGGTCATGAATGTGAATGCAAAGTTTTGACACATAGATGTGTTTTTGAAAGGCTGTACAAAAATTCTTATGAATTAGGTTTCGGATACGTTGGTTATGTTCAGTTCAAAGCGTAAACAACATATCCGCGTACATACGTTTCATATGTTGTCTACGTATGTGATACTCTCCAAAATGGCGCTATAGGGTGATGAATTGTTGAATAAAGTCGTTATTTTTGTAATCTCGTAGCTTCGTAATATTACGGTTGAACCCCTGATGTCACATGGATTATTTTACCAATCTCCTTGCTACATTTCTGAGCCTTGATCGTGGTAGTACCCTTGCTGTCTATGGGAGGGTCAGAGACAGGGCTGTACAGTGCGACATATATGCTACGTGCTACGAAAAAACTGGTCTGTGCGATGAATAAATTTACCACTGTAGCACGCGTGCGCAGGTTTGTTTACGGTCCGGCAAATACGGGAATGGGCCACATCGTTTTTTTTTGTTTTTTTTACTTTGTGCTATGTCATCGCCCCCTTT